GGCCCGTCTCCTGCGGCCTCGGTCCCTGCCCAGGCTGTCGTGGAGGGCTGGGTAGCTCTGCCCCGGGAGAGGGCTCGGAGCACGGCAGAGCCAGCCCTCCCTTCTCCCGGGGCGCGCTGCTCGGCGAGGAGGCAGCAGGTTTCTGCTGCTGGGATTTCCCAACTTTCCTGGTCCAAGCTCAGTTGAGAGGACCATTGCAGATCGTTAGCATCGATCAACTGCCCCTGCTCTCCCTCTTTCCAGAGAAAGGGAAAAGCCGTGGGGCTGCACAGCTCCAGAAAGCACTTTGGCATTGCTGCTTTTGCAGTCGCGGCCGTCGCACTCTGCCAGGGTTCTGAGCAAGCCTGCCCACTTCCCTTCCCTGCCAGCAGCACGGGCGAAGAGTGGCAAGCGCTGCGTGGCGAGGAGAGCCTCTGTGCCCCGCTCCTGGCCGAGAGGCTGGCGTTCTGCAAGCTGCTTCCGCGGGACCCAGCTCTCCTGGCAGGACTTCACCTCCAGCCCCCAGCCCCTTCCCTCTGCCCACCCCTTGGGCTGTACCCCCGGGGGGGTCAGGCAAAGGGCTGTCCCAGCAGTTCGAACACTAAAGGATGAGGCCGACACTACTAATAACCTACAGCTTTGGAGACGTTACCGGTGTGCCAGGGGCTTGGTGTCTGCTTTGCTGGACGGGAAACAGAGCGAGCGGGGAGAATCCTTCCTGGCCTGCGGGCTCGGCTCCACGGGGAGGGGAAGGTTAGCAGTGGGTAAAGGAGGAGTGTGGTTTATTTTTTTCCCCTCTTGCAGACTTGATGTCATACTGGATCTTTTTTTTAAAAAAAGATCTTTTTTTTAAAAAAAAACAGATGTGATAACTTGGATTTTTAAAGAGCTCTTTGGTTCTAGGTAGCTGGTTTTTGCTGTTTAATATGTAGTAAGTTCAGTGTATGCTTTACTGTAGGAGTAAAAATGAGGAGTAAAACCAAGGAAGGCTAATCCTGTCTTCACAGAAGGGCTTGGGGGGGACGGAGGCCGCAAGCATGGGACCAGGGCCAGACCCGGAGCGGGGCACCCGCCTGAACCCCTGCTCTGTCCCTGCTTTGGGCCGCGGCCGGTCCGCTCTTGCCTG